TGAAATTTGAAAATCCCTGGATTTTGTAACCGTGAATTTTACCAACCAAGGTGCACAATGAATGGAAAATGGAGAATACCTTAATAATCCTTCAAGTGCCTGAATTTCCAATCGATTGATCTAAAAATTGAATATAGAGTAGAAATAATATATCTTATACCCAAATTCATGAGACATTCTATGCAAACTCAGCTGCCTTTATTTTTTTGTTCTTCCAAGTATTATCCAAATAATAATACATAAAAACTCACAGCTCTATTGTAACAAAATCCAGGGACTTTGAAATTTCACCGCTGTCTCCCCTTAAGGAGTTCCTTTATCTCATGTAGATGCCCATTAGAAATGCAATGATCAGGAAAATTCCCTCGAGTACTTCGGTTCGCAGCGAACATAAAACTCAGACCAATTAGACTATTCCTCGCATTTTTCTCCCCCTCGTTTTGTTTTCAATGTTCAGTGTTTCTCAAATCAAAATCGATGTTAATGTCAACTCCTCGTGTTTATTCAAAATATCTCTTCCATTGCTCTCATATTCTCTCTCATATCGATATGTCCTGCCTTCGATTTTTCATCTTAATTGACTCTGTGGATTTTTATTTTGTTTATAGTTTGTTTTATTTCGTTTATGATTTCAACGTTTTCGATTATCAGTATCTTTTGACGGTTGTTAGAAGGCTAATGGACTCGAAACAGGCGGGCCGGACTCTCAGGTACTTGCAACAAAAGATTTCAGCGATATTAGACCGTTTTTGGGAAACAATTTTTAAAGAGATTCAAATTTTCTTGTCCACAAAACTATTTGATTATTATTTACTAACGAATTTTTTTTAACGTTCAGAATACTTTAAAAGTAAGAAATATATTGTTTCTCCATTCGAATTCACATTCTCATTTAATATTGAAACAAATTTATAAATTTCGTAATTCGAAAACAAGTGGATGATCTGAGAGAAATCTCAGAAAATATTTCTGTGGGTAAAAAATTCTCCGCAGAAATAGTTTTCTGGAATTTCATCATGAATTGACTCATTGAAATGATGAAAAGTACAATTTAAAAAATACAATAACACTTTTTTTCTAAAAACGTGTAAAGGTAAATATAATATTCTACATTTGGAAATTATCTCGAGAGCGAGTGGAGTCAATTTTATTAAACATCAAAAAAACATTTTTGCAGCTGAGAAAATTCTCGACAAAAATGCCCCTTGATATTCTGCCAGAAGTAACTCATTATTCAGATAATTCAACACTGAAAAGTAAATGAAACTATTTGAATTGAATCACGACAAATACAAAGAAAATCTGTATCTCTTTAAATGAATTAAAATCCAGTTGTACGTGTCATCCATTGAGAAACACTGGTCTCCATCTCGTAATGACTTTCCCCCTTATCCACCGTTGTCTAATCAATACCCCAAAGGCGATTCAAATCCCCAATTGAACGTAATTTAAATCGCAAAGACACTGTCAATTACTGTAATCCCATCCCTTTTGAAATGCTGCCAGTAACGACAAAACGGTGATGACAGCGAGATTATTAATCAGTTTCTATCATTAAGATATTAATTCTCCACATCAGTAGGAAAAAAAAACAAATTCGAGATTGAGTAAACTGATAGTTCGTATGGAATTGATTAATTATGAAAAATGTCCACTCAAAAATTTACTCCGATCAATAATTTCGGTCCGACGATTTGTTTTCCTCTTGATTTTAAGGAATTTTTTCAATCGGTCAGATGGCAATTGACTAGGAATCTCTTGTTCTCTTAATGGGATACAATTATTTTTTCATTTGTGAAGTGGCGAAATGTAACAGAACAGAACAGAATGTGTTTCAATTTTCGGTGAGAGAAACCGCATTATGATTTTAACGTTATTTTTATTCTTTTATTCACGAATGTATGAGTTCTCGGCACTCAAGGAGCCTCAAAAAAATTGGGGGAGACGCAACACTGGGGAGAGTTTCAAAATGCAACAGAAATTGTTAAGGTGTTTCATGTGAAAAAGGTAAATAATGACATTCATCAGGAATTCATATAAAATGTTTATAATCACAATTGAATTATCTACGAATTTTTCTAGAATTTTTTCAGGTTTCATTTTCAAGTTATTAACGATTGAAGTTCTAATTTTTCTATTTAGCACGAAACTGCGTTACTATCTAAGCTCACAATATAGTTTCACACAGAAAAATGCTAAACAGAAAAATCTCTATAAGAGCCCATGCATAAGAAAGCGACTTTAATCGTTGATAACTTGAAAAGGAAATCTGAAAAAATTCTAGGAAAATTCATAAATAATTCAATTATAAACATTCTACATGAATTCCATATGAATTTCAATATTTACCTTTTTCGCGCGAAGCACCTTAAGCAGCGACCGTGATAAAATTTCAAAGTTTTCATTAGAGCTGTGATCTATGATGAGATATGTTAGAAAATCGAAAAAATTATGAGCCGAATCGATTTCGCCCAGTGAATTAACGAAAAACGACGTTTTTCATTTTTGCCTTTAAAATCGTCCGAGTGCCTCAGTTTTCTGTCTGATTGACAATTTGTTTTCAATAGTGTAACGGAATCGAATGTTTAATTTATCAATGCTCTTCCCTCTTGATGAAATGAATGAATGTGTGCGTTTGGTTTTTGTCATTCTATTGATCTGATGTTATTCAAAATCCAGAACAAATAGATTCTACTTCACCTGTATTCATTGAAGAGATAAATTGCTACGATGATTATTAGTCTCCTGAGAACAAAGGTATGCAGTCATTTTAGAATCCATTAAACAGATTATGAAATTGAAAAAAATGAAAAATTTATGAATTAATGAGAGAAATAAATGAAAAAAAAATTCTTCAATTTTTCCATCTAATGAATTACTCAATGGATCGTTGAACGGATGCATATTTTTAGTCTAAAGTATATTTTTAATAAAAAAATCGTCAATCTGATGAAAACTGAGACATTTGCATGATTTTAAAGGTAAGAATGAAAAATAGTGCTTTTCGTTGATTCACAGGGTAAAATCGTTTGTAGTCATCATTTTTCCCACTCTTTGACATGTCCACTGTTAACAATTTTCGTCTGATTTTCCGTGCCAAATTCCGGAAATTTTTATTGTGGTCAAGTTCCACTGAAATTTCAAGAAATCTTGTCATTGAAAAATCAAATATTCCATTGATTTTATGTTCAAATGATCTGGAAATCAATAAAATACCTAATTTACCAGTTCAATTATTCTGTAAAAAGTCAGAAAATTCAGGAAAATTGAAAATTCATGTAATTTTGTTTCTGAATATTTATGTTCCACTGAAAATTCAATCAAGTGTTGAAATTTCTATCACACTCCCACTCAAAAACTCATGAATTCTCGTAAACTCGTGAATTCTACTGAAAACTTGAAATTTCATAACCACTTTTTCCGAAATTCGATTCAATAGCACTCCCATGAGATTTACTATAATATCTTCTATGAAATTTCAAAGAATTTCTAACAGTGTCCCATCATGTATAAAAAATTCCTGCTCCAACAAAGACTTCAAAATTTCGCCGGGGCCAAACCCTTAAAAATCTGAAGTTGGTTCACAAATAGTTGACATTTACACGAATAAAAAGAAGCAAGGATTTTTGAGAATCTCCATACATAGTTTAAAAATTGCATTTCTTATATCCATATCCACATTTAATGTAGCGTATTCATATCAGGTTTGAGCAAATTCAGCTAATTAAACTGATATTAATTTTTAACATCTCAAAGAATATTAAATCCAACAATATTATTCACTACTTCAGTAATGGATAACCTTCAAACCATTTTTCATAACTTCAGCAATTAGTATTTTATATTAATTTTGAGCAATTACTAAAATAACAGTTACTGCAAAGATTGGAAAAAAATGTGCTTTGATTTATTAATTTATTATGGATTTATTAATGAAAGATCGGCGATAGAAGTGATAATAAAAAATACCGATAGATGTTAAATATTAATATTTTCAAAAATCCTTGTTTTTATTTATATACAGATCAACTAAATGCGCATCAATTAAAAAAACTAACGCTTTCTCACGATTTTTAAGGTTTTGGATCTTGAACCCTTTAGAGTTTGCTCCTTTTTCACTTTTTTGAGGGCCCTAACAAATATCAAGAACTCTCAAATTCAATGGGACTAAATTCGAGCCCTCCCTCAAATGAGTGTTTGAGAAAACAAGATCAAAAAAACATTTTTGTGCAGAAAATTTGCTGCCCTACACAGAAGGTCTCTCCATATTTTCTCCTCAAACCATTCATCATTGAAATCAAAGCGAAAGAGAAAATCGAAGAGTCGATTTATACATTGACTCTTTTATTTGTCAAATTATCTCTATAACGAGTTTTATGAGAATATATTTACCAAAAATATGAATGCCTAATTACAATTTGCCACTCCACAACTGAATTTTCCACTCCCTATTTTTTCTAAATTGAACCATCATGATCGCCGCAATGAAACATCATCAATTTCTTTTATGTATACGTGTATATGTAATAGATATATGCTTTTAATAGATGCTCTAAAGTTTATACGCATTTCTCTGTTACTTATCTCCCTCTCTCTCAGTTAATTACTTCTCTTTATAGATTTGTTTTCATTCATTTGTAAGTTTTTTGTTTGTCGTTTTACGTTTAAGAAATATATCGGTCGAAGAGTATATCTAAACCACATAGCAACAGATACAGTGATGAAACCAAGTACCTTAATTTACTTTCATTTTTTTTTTCATCGTTTTAGTTTAAATTCTGAACTCTCAACTTTGAACTAATCTGCTGATTTTTGGGAATTTTTTAGATTGTTCGGGTGATTAATATGTCTCCACGTATTTCAGGGGAGTAATTTCAATTTAAAAAATATATTTCAATGATTTTTTAATATATTTCGGTGGATTATTTCAATCAGCACGAAAATACGTGGAGATATATATTATTTTTTGTTTCAATTCGCAAATTAAAATTATTGTTCAATTATTTTCTTCATTCTGCCTTTAATGTCAAGAATTTACTCGCACTCTAGACAACTAATTCATTAATTGAAACATCACTAAACCGCTGATTAACTAAGGCTCAATAACCATTAATACATTAAAACAAAATAAATGAAGGCATGCGACAATGAGTGTATACAAAAATGTCAATGATCCAGTGAATTAACAAAAAAGAAAACTTAATTAATAATAATTACTGAATAAAATGGGCAGGGGGCTTAAACTGTGGAAGAGATCCTTGGCGTTGGCTAGAAAACTAAATGGCTAATTAATATATAATTATATTTTACAAACTACAATTCTTCTAAACGAAATGATCTACCAAAACTGGAGATTTTTCCTGCATTTCTTTACTAGGGAATGAATAAATCAAAATCACTTACGGCCATTTTGCCACAAAATATACAAACTCACTACTCAGTAGAACTAGTTTTTATAGATAAATGGAGTGAGGAAGGAAAAATGAAGATGATCATTGCAAATTCATTGCAGAGGAAATTATAAACAAAGTACAATGAATATTTTCATCTCGAGGGATCACTAAAATTAATGAGAATTTAATGAATGTAATTTTTTTCCTCACTCCAATGAGTTACATTATTTTCCAAGCCTCAAAACATGTCTTTTTCATTGGAATTAATCAATTAATCAGCTAAATTAGCACGATGATCCATTGAAATTCTCACCCTTTTACCCTCTGACAAATCAGTTGAAGAGATCCAAGTGGGAAAGCATTTTTGAGACTATTTGCTGCTCTAAAAAACACAGATTTTACTTAACTGAGGTTTAGCCGCAAATAATAACAGAAAGTCATCGACTCAATGAATTAAATGTCACTCGAAATTCCGTTTTGGAAAATCCTCCGTCAGATGATGGAATTAAATTCCCTTCTAAACATCTTTACGTTCCTGAACGGCTACATTGAGTCGATTCACTATTGACACTACTGCACAGATTTCCGCGCAGATTGCGCATGCGCAGTACGTCAAATTCTCAACAAAATGGGGGAAGATCTACAAATGTTTTCTGAGGGCAATCCTCATCTAATTTAAATGTAACTGGGTTCATTTCCCTCGTTGGAACATTATTTATGCATGAATTAAATGCTTGTCTGGCTGTTTTTTTCCAAATGACAATAATCTGACGGAGAAAGTGAGTAAAAAAAATTCTGTAGATTAAATTTCCATTAACATTCAACGATACCAATGATTCACAATTAATATTAATTCAATTGAACATTCCCAGTCAAGTATAATCTGATATTGTTTGCATTAAAAAATCCCTCAGGTGTCTGGCAGAGGCTGTCCCACCTGCATACCCTCAACCCAACAAAAACTTCAAATCCCATAATTTTCAATCAAAACGGTAATTGAAAGAAAAATATCTTCAAGTGTAAAACCCTTCGGAAAAATTCATCAAAAAATCTCAATAACAAATTTTCTGTTCCCTTCACGATAATTACGATCTCGCTGTACCTTTAAAGGGTATTCTTTGCTCCAGTAAAAGACACTATAACATTTTCATATATATAATATGTACATTAACATGCGTATATTGTTGGACTGGGAGAAGATTATTGGGTCGGGTAGTAACGCGTTTGGGAGGGTATATAATCTCCAGATATAATTGTTTCATATAATTTTTTTGTTGTTTTCTTGAATACTTGCGGCTTAAACGAGGGTAAAATTGGTTTAAGCTTTTTCTTTTTAAAACCATAAAACTTGAAATTGTGTCTGGTAGAATATTTAGGCTACAGGAGAGCATTTATCCTTCCTTTCATCATTCTTATTAGATTAATCAATTATTCTTCTCCTCGTTATTTCTTCAAACTGATGATTCATATGCGAATTAAACGAATGCAGGATCTTTGGCATTGCACGTTTGTTAATGATGAGCTTATGGCAACGGTTGTATCACCTGGACGTAACTGACTGGGAAGTAGCCAGTTCGCCCGTTGACACTTCCCTCGTACCAATTATCATCGATCTTCTGGATCAGGGTGATTGTTTCGTTCTCCTGAAAATTGATGATAAAATAAGGTCAGACAATTGTTTGAATCAACAAAATACCTCTTTTACGCAGCATAATTGATGTATTCGAATACACAAAATTTTCAAACATAAATAATAAAATAGTTGAATGACTTGTGGATTTTATCCCGAATTTATGACGGTTATGTTGTAATTTTTTTGTCATAATTTGAATAGTTACAAAAGATCATTTGGAAGGTCATCTGTTAACCCTAGTCTGGTCACCCAATGCCACCCTGGGGCTTTGATCACCTCTGCGGGGATTCCCCGGCGTATTATTTACGCTTGAGTGTTGCCGAATTCACTCTACACTGCCCGAGCACGTTTAGCGAGTTTCCGGCAACGTCGCGTTATGGGCAATTTCATTTAATATGGGACAAAATAATTCATCTGTCCGAAATCATTTGTTTCCTTTAGGAATTTTGGGAAATATGTTGTTCTAAAAACTGCTATAATTTTTTAGACACTTCAAACAGATAAAGCCAAATTTTTTTGAATTTTTCCAGTTAGTCAGTCAATTATAATTTAAAAACAACGATGCGCGGTGGGATTTCCCTCATAGAGTGAGCAATCTAGGGTCAATATCGTCATAATAACGTATTAACGATTGTAATAGACTTTGTCCCACGTGTTCGGTGGAATATGAATCTAATGAGCATGTTCTTTTAACATGCGAATCATATGCTCATTTTAGAGAAAAATTCCTTCTCTGTCTATTTAGGGGCCCTGGCACGTCGCAAACATTACTCGACATTCTGGACTCTCACGATATTCGCAGCTTTTCCATTTGATGTCTTGCTATCTCATTAATTAATTAATTACTTATGTAGTTATACGCCAGAGTCATGTGTACAGTAAATTTATTTAGTTATCTTGTCACTTTAGTTATGCTTTTATCGTATATCGTATAAGAATCGCCTGTTATGTGGATAAATTGGTTCTGATGCGTGCAATAGTATGAAATAGTGTGTGAAATATTGGAGAGCTATAAATTTGTAAATTTTCTGTATGACCACATGTACAAGCTTAGTTTTTCCCCTTGATAGGGGAGAGTTTTTCTCTTGATAAGCAATAAATTAATAATAATAATATTGTCATAATTTGGTCATATGACGTGTCATAATATTCTTCCACAACATCAAAATAATTGAACTTAAAGGTAAAGTATTGATGAACAGCTTGATCTTGGGGGGGATGGGGACAATTTCATCAGGACTTAAACCCTAAGAGACTCAATTTACGACCGATAAAAAACACCGTCCACATACAGCAACATGATAAAGCATAAAAATGAAAAATGAAATGACATCAGATCGTCTGAGAAATCATTACTGAACAGGAGAGCATTTAAAAACAGGAGGATCGAGAGAATTTATTAATGTCAAGGCGTTAATGAGACATCCAATGGGTCAGTGGAGCATGGACGATCGATAGGAGACAAGTTAGGGACACGCAATGGTCTCGGGATACTTACGACCTTCGTGGAAGGGATGGTGCGAATGTTCTTTCGCTTACGAGCCGGTTTTTTTATGGGGAAATTTCATTTTACTGCCAGCGGGAGTTGATGGCATCAGGGGGAGTTGACAGGGTTCAGACGGAGCTTTTAAGTGATGATCTGTGATTGTCATTTTTCAGGGGATAAAATTATTGAATGCCTGACACGCTAGACGTTTGCGTATCAATTTTTCTTTTCAGAAGGATTTTTTTATAGTTTGAAATAAATTATCTCCAAATTATTTCGAAATCCGAATATAGAAAAAAATGGAAAACTGAAGGAAGTAAATTTAAACAGTGCTTTTTAGTGTTTAGTGTTTAGTGAAGATGTTTTATAATAAAGCTCAACCCCTAAATTAATTATTATCAAAGATACTAGACGACTGTGAGCACAAACTTCACCAAAATGTTTCTATTTATAGTCACTTCCGTATAGAATTTATTTCAGACTTCAATCTTCAAAATTTGAGTTATATTTATACTACTTTAGTCCGATTGCACCAAGCCCAGTTAAAGAAATCCATAGATAAATATCATAATTCATTGACTATGAATTGAATTATTGACAATGTAGAACTGTCAATTGGCTATTCAATAAATAATTCTAAATTTCATAAAAAGCATTTTCGATTAGTCAAATAATCGTTTATCTTCGGAACTCAATTATTGATTGGTAAAGTAATGGGAAATTAGAATATTTAATTTATGATTAATTGAAAATAATTAAAAAATTGATAAGTAATATTATCAAATGACTTATTTGAAATTTAACTGCATTTGAAATTTATGATTATGCCGATATCGTTCTGTCTCCATAGGATATGGGACAATAGGGAACTTGCATGATTTTTTTTTCAATTTTCTAATCTCAAGTTTGGAACCCGAATAATTCACTTTTCATTCACAAGCGTTCGAAACATTGTTCATTAATTAATCATTAATTGTTAAAAGTTGAAGATTCGTTAGATCAATTACAGAATGGCTTGGGCGAACCTAACCCAATCTTGAGATGTGCCTCAGCCAATGGAGGACAACTTCCCACTCTCTTCTTTGTCGACCAATGAAGCTTTTTTACCTGACCGTCTTCGTAACGTCATGACCGAAAAATTCGCCTTGAAAACGACTGATTTTCAATAAATTATCATAAAAATCTAGGCAATATTTCTTCATAATTTTCGCCATTTAAGTATCCATATGTTATGAAGAATATGTAAATAAGGATATTAGAAAGAGTGGAGCTTCATGCAAGTTCCTTATTATGGGGAAGTCTTTTTCGAAAGTATATTTTTTCACTTCCATACCTTGAATCCAAGTTCCCCAGGATTTTCAGGCTCGAAATCATAAAGAGCTGTGCAACAGGGCTGTTTAGGCATCGGTGTTCTCGCTGGTGATTTGCTCGGTGATGGTAATGGTGATGCTGCAACGTAGATACACCAAAATTAGGGTATTTCAGTTTTACGACATTAACCCGCTTGTGCCAGAGAGAAACAGCTATAACGTGGGAAAGTTGCAATCGATATTTGCCGACAGAAATCTTGTACAGTGCTGTGGCCGAAATGAGGCGCAGTCCTCACGTTTCGCCGTAGTTTCAAGCCAATACAACGAACATGCTGTATTTTTAATTCCCTATTCCTTGCTTTTTTGCTCGTTGCATGAATAACACATCGATGAAATATAGGGGAAAGGGTCAGAAATGTCAGTGAAAAGATGGGGATGAGGGCGTAAAGGTCGAGCTGCATGCGAAAATATCAAAAACATCAATTACGTTTGCTGTAAACAAATAAATAAAACATTTTTTGATCGATGAAATCGGTGGACAATACTTGAAATTTTTCTAATTGAAAACCGAATTTTTGTCAAACAATTTTTACTCGAATAATTGAGTCTAATCGGTGATTGAATTGAATTTTCATGATATATTGGCATTTTTGTAAATGCAGATTTAAAAAATGATGATTGATTTGATATTCACGTTTCATGCAGTAAATAAAATGTAGAAATTAATAGTTATGTGAATTATTTCATTGAAAAATCACTCATGTAAATAATTTGTCTTCACCAAATTGTTTTTTCTATTGAAAAAGTTCAAAACAAAGCTATAAAAATGGAATCGATATTGTTTTGTAAATATCTTATGAATGACAAAATTGATTGTCATTCCTTTTTTACGGAGAATTCAATTTTTTACAAAACAAAATGTTTTAATAGAACGTTTTGATCCGATTCATTCCTGAGATATTCACAAAATAATGCGGACATCAAGAATTTAAAAGTCCTGGAATTTTGTAACTATGAATCTGATTTTATAGGTCAAATTCTTCTACGATGCCTAAAAATTAGAGATTCGAATTTTTTATAATCAAAAAATCAACTTTTGAAAAATCCCCAACGTATTTTTCAAGGGTAAAAAAACATTTTTTCAGATGAAAAAATCTCTTTCGACTTTTCTTTTTCTTTTCTCTTTGAAAAATACTATTTATTCATTTTTTTACGCGAGTCCGTGAAACACCAGTGAAATATGCGCCTTTTTCCTAGTACGATAAGACATTGAATTTCGGGAGAGTTTAAAAAAAATTTCAAAAGAAACAAAATGCCCGACGGCCTGGCGCAGTGGGGAAGGTCTTTTCCTCATGTGCATAAGGTTCCGAATTCAAATCCCGGTCGGGTAGAATGGTGAGATCTAACTATTTTTAAAGTCTTGATCACCATCGCAATATACTCAACCGAGTCGAAGCGTTGTAAAATAACAATAAAATAAAAAATAAAAAAACAAATCCCGGAGTTTTGAGGTGAACGAGGAAGGGAAAAGGGCAAACGCCTTAAAAATCGTTCAAATGCCTAACAAATACCAAGGACTCTCAGATTCATTGTGACAAAATCAAGGGACTTTCAAATTTCGCCGAGGTCCCCTCAAAAAATCGTAAAATGTCAAATTCAAGTCGAAAAGAAAGTAATTGGGCAGTTGTTCTTTGCGGGATAATTGAGATCGATTATTGGCGGATTGAAAACAAAATTATATGGCAAAAGAGCGTGACAGTCTATTTAAAAATCTACCCCCATGCAAAATTTACCATTGGTAGATGTCGGCGGATTACCAGCCGGAAACAGCTCGAGCTGTGAGCGCTTGTTCTCACTCGGGACCGGAGAACCAGAACGACTTGACCCTGCGATTTATTCAGGATAGGACATTCAAGTATGCGAACAGTTATACAAAAAATTCGTAACATTGAGAGTTGAAAAAAAAATGTCTGTGATATTTGTTGAGTTCTGGAGTTTTCTGTTTCGTATCAGATGTGAGGGTTTTCGTGATTGTGGATGCTTTCATAATTTTTTGGTCTTGCGACCGAGTGTGAGGGGCTGAGTGATTTATCGCGAACAATCGGAGAAATTGAGCAAAACACGAAAATGCAATCAGAGATAGAGTAGCATGGATTCTTGTTAGAGACAGTCACAGATTGTTGGATCATAGTGGGGGAGGTCGATAGAAATATTAACAGTTAGACAAATACAACCCCATTGTTAGGTCATCTGTACGGCTGTGTAAATTTATGTGTTGTCTTTTTACCGTGCAGAAAGAAGTTCCCACCGTTCATATGGTCGAGTGGCAATCCCTCGACATTCAGATCGGCCAGTGTCTTCGGGACGAATTCCAGCTTTGGTCTATTTGCTGCTTCATCTTTCCTGGAAAACGAAGGGCAATCGTTGTGATCAACATTTCTGATCTCATCCAAACAAAGGAGACAAGTCTTTTTGTTTAGATAAATGATCGACAATATTAATCCAAATTCAACTGGAATCATTATAGGTTTAGAAGAAAAAGTCTGGAGCCTTTTTTTTGTAAAATGAGTACACTGAGAGAAAAACCAACACGTCAAACAAGTCTTGTTTGGGCTAACAAAATCGCTAGTTGAAAATTTACAAAAAAGAATTTGTTTGGTTCAAATTTGAAAGTCTCAAACATGAAGAATTGCTCCGCTTTCGACAGCAACAAAATATTGGGCTCAAGAGGCGGATAATTCACACCAGACGGTGCCTTTTCACGATGAAAATATCTCATACAGAGGAAAATTTATCAACAAATATTTTATCCCTAAGTTACAAGATTGCTATCATATCATTATTATTTTTTCATTTAAGGGTTCATTTCTTGTCTGTAATTATTAGACAGTCGAAACGAAAAACTACTATCCCTTGTTGCGCATAAAACAATGATTTTTCGGGAGCAAAATACGTATGGAAGTATCGAATAATGAAGGAGTAGTGCTAGAAATGACATTGCTTGCGTGTACAGAGAATGCAATTTTTTTTACTACTAAATCTATTTTTGCTACTAAAATTTTTCATTCCGGCGCACTCTCTGCATGTTTGGCATAAAAAAACCTTTTTTGATAAGTTTCTAAAAACTATTTTCTTAGCACAAGTAAGACTTGTTTGAAAACTTTGTCGTTTTTCTCTCAGTGTATAGTTATTGTTGCTAATAAATTAGCAATTTTCTTCCAAATGGATTCTCTTTTTTAAAATTCTTATTTCACTATTCTCTTCTTCTCTTCTTTCATGTCATAGTAGCATCATCTATTGGATGTCATCAGAATTTTGCTTATTATTTCATTCTGTCAAATGATTCTACATTCAGACCCTCTAAAGAATCGAATTCGTTTTCAGTCCAGGTTTAATAAAGGTTCAATCGAGGTGTAATCAGTGTATAGCTGAGATTTAATCAGGGCGCATTCAAGATTTCGTCAGAGTTTAACTCAGGTTCTGTCAGACGTTAGTCGAAACCATGAATCAATATGAATAAATATTCAACATAATAGAGTGATACTTGAGTTAGCTATAGAGATTTTGATATAAAAAACTTATATTCTCGCCATTTTTCAACATGATTAAGAAGACATTGAAATATACTATTCAAGCCCTGATGCAATTGATATTACTGATGATCATTTTGTCCTAAATCTCGTAGTTTTCGAGAGATTTATAAAATAGACACTCTCACACCTAAACATATTCCCAAATGATTCAAAAGGAATGTCGAAAGTATTCCGCACAGATTTTTAGACGAAGAGGTTGAGAATAATTAATCAAGCAACGTTCTTTGTACGAAATTCCCAGTTTTACAAAATCTCCTTTGACATGTCGTCTAAACCTACTAGTCTCAGAGTCGCAAAAGAATACAAAAAACGTCCCCTCCTTCTGTATAATTATCACCAAAAATCTACTCACTTTTCTAAGAGGGTCTCAGTCAACACTTTCAGTACCTCAGTGCACTGTTGATGATACTCAAGGAGAGCCTCGCTGAAGGTTGCCAGCTGAGCCACTTGTTCGACCTGAATAAACCCCACAATATCATTATGACAAAAAGTTTACTCCGAGATATCACATAAAAAAACATTACTGAACAGACTCAACAAAAAAATCAATGAAAAAAAATAACACTAAAACTCCTCCTCGAATAGAAAAAAAAAGTGTCTTTACCTCGTTCTGGTTGATAAAAAGGAAAAAGATTTTTATCTTTGTATTTTCTGTTCATATATTGACGAGATATATTAATTCAACAGTTAAATTGAAACTCACATCGTTCTCCAGTAAATTAAACATTCCCATCTGTGCAAGATGAAGGCTCTCAGCGAATTTCTCCTCAGCCTGTCGTATTTCATCGTCTGAAACGTGAGAACCTGTACGCAAACAGTTGCGTCCACGTTGTTTCCATTAAAAAATTTGCACTACTGGGAATCAACTAAATTACAGGTGCCCTGATCGTAAGGAGTTTGATAATTAATTGATTTTCAATTAAGGTCACGAGAGTAATCAATGAGAGAAGAGTCACCTTTCTAGCATAGTACAGCATAAAACTACCCAAAGTACATGGACATGTATTATACCTGATGTCAGTGTTGATATGATTACATTGACAGTCAAAGGGAACCCCACAAACGTGCAATTTCATACTCTACTGTGACGTCAAACTAGTATCGATCGTATTTAACAAGTTTTGAATGGGCTGTGTCATACTTAATGTCTGCATTCACTAAAAAGTTTACGACTTATTGCATTAATTATTGAATAGTTCAAGTTTACAAAGTTAAGGTTTGATTCTTCGTTTACAAGTATTTCCTCTGACTTTTGCCAGAAAACTTTGCCAAACGTTGGAACACCTATGGCTTTTTCGATTTTACACTCATCCAAAATGATTCGAACTCATTTATTCACTGAGAGAAGCCAAGTTTTTAATTTGGAGAGGATGGGGCAAAATTTCGAACTTTCAATTTGGTTTTTTAATATTTATGGTTTAGAGTCAAATGCTTCAGTTGGAGTAGTATAAACATAAGGTAAATTTTAAAGATGAAAAACTGAAATAAATTCTAAACGGAAGTTGATATGAACAAATACATTCTGGTTGAGTTCGTGCTCAATTACCCGTGTATAAATCGTGGTCTCCAATAAGTCTCCACAAGGTCCCGATCGAGTCCTGATGGAGTATCACATATTTCTGTCACCTTGAGAAGTCTAAACTCGAATATTTACTTCAGAAAAATGAAAAGTCTCATGCCCCAAGACTTTTACGGTACTTCGTGCGCGGAATATTCAGTCTCTCGATAGAAGACTTTACATTACGTGGATGATAATTGGCCACGAGATTTTTTTGAGGTCATCAGACTTTTTTTCTCATACTCCCTAACCACCCCCGATTAATTTCCACCCCTAGGGGGGATGATCTAATTTTTGAGTAGCTCAAACCAAAAATGGCTTCATCAAATATGTTTGGTTTCGTGGGGTCCGAAAATTCAATTTTTAAGGAGGAGATTTTTTTTTTAATCATATCCTTTTTGTCACCTTCTCTGCCTATCCCCAATCATTATCATACTCTGTACGTTCCGCCGAAACGGACGCATTTTTATAATTTAATATTAGAACTTGAATCCCATGTTAGAGGAATTTCTCTGTTATCCCGTCCGTTTTTCTCACCTCTACATTCAGTAATAATTTTGTAGATTGATATAAATGCACCCAGGATAATATCGGAATGTATTGATTGCCTAATTGTCCACGTAACGTCAAGTCTTCCATCGAGAAACTTTGAACATGCCGCGCACGACGTACCGTAAAAGTCTTGAGCATGAGACTTTTCATTTTTCTGAGGGAAATATTCGAGTTTAGACTTCTCAAAGTACCAGAAACATGTGAGACTGCATCAAGACTCGATCGAGACGTTTTGGAGACTTATTGGAGACCACGATTTTTACATGGCTAGGAGTCTGGTATTATTGATAATAATTAATTCAGAAGTGGCAAAAAGACAGAAAGTCTTATGAGAAAATAAATTTTTCGAGATTAGCGAGAAGATTCAAATGTAGAACAAATTTGGGATATATAATTCATGTTTCTGGAAACTTCGCATGTACAATCTTCAAAAGAAGTTCGTAAAGAACGTGAAGTTGCATCCTGTATAAGTCTATATGGGATGCAACTTCACGTGCTTTACGAACTTCTTTTGACAATCTTCAAAAGAAGTTCGTAAAGAACGTGAAGTTGCATCCTGTATAAGTCTATATGGGATGCAACTTCACGTGCTTTACGAACTTCTTTTGACAATCTTCAAAAGAAGTTCGTAAAGAACGTGAAGTTGCATCCTGTATAAGTCTATATGGGATGCCACTTCACGTGCTTTACGAACTTCTTTTGACAATTGTACAGGATACACTAGTCAAGTGAGCAACTATTGTAGAGAAAATTTGACAGATTTAGTATATTTCGTCACTAGGCCGAAAAAAACTTTTCTGGCGAATATGAGTTTGCAGCCCTCGCCTTCGGCTCGGGCTGCAATCATATGAGCTAGAAAAGTTTTTTTTGGCCGTATGACGAACAGTATTTTTTGTTATGACGGCCGTAGGCAGAGAAGCGCTGCCTCACGGCCGGAATGACAAAAAATTTTTTACTCTCGTCAAAGTTCAAATTCATGTAATAAATGATCAATGATGAATAACTTTTTTTCAGTCATTTTAAATTAATTTTTCCTTGTTACACTCAACGATTTACATGGAGTTGGGATATATTCCTTGAAGCTCAGTACGGACTAGTCACAAAGAGGAAGAATTGTACTGTTCGTGAGAAAAATTGTCTCATTCCATACTAAATTCAATGAACTATTAAAATTTTTTTTAAATAAAAATGAATGCACGGGAGTTTTGGTTCTCTATCCACGCATTCAGCCAGTTCTCTAACTTTACCCTTTAATTTTTTAACAGGTTACTAGGTATGTAGTTGCCAATCATTGATGTTGGGTTGGTTGCGGAAATTTGCGATTCTGTTTGATGTTTATGGGATAAAGCGCCACGGTCCATTAGTCGTCGGGAGGTCTCTCAAAACAATTTGTGAATGGGGGTAAAGGGGTTCAACACGTAATTGATGAAAAAGAATATTCAATGAACTGGCGGAAAAGTCTGTTTATCAATTGAGAGTATTAAATTCAGTTCATTTAAGCGAGTTGAATGAATTATTTCAATAATTCATTTCACTTTATTTGAATTGCAGAATGGAATTAGGATAATTGTAAACATCTTGTGTTTTTTCTATAGAACAGATAAAAATCAATTCATTTAGTCGTTTGATGAAGTCTCTCAATCAATAAAACAATGTAGCAAATGTTCGAGGAGAATTGATGAAATAATTAAAAAATTGCAATTTTTTATTTAAAATTACGAGCATTTTGTATAAATAATTTATAAACCATCAATTTTCCACCATAAAAATCATTTTCAAATCGTAATAAATTTATTCATATTCAAAATTTTACCAGAAATCGATTTCATGTCTAAAACAAGCAGTTGACTGCTCCTATATTGCAGAAGGCATGTGACTGTTACTTTATATATTATTTGTATTTTATTTTTTTATTTCTACCAATTCCATTGGTAATAAGCTTCTAAATGGATTCGTAGCGATTCCCTTTTTCAATTTACAGGAGAAACTATTTTCTCACGTCACATTCCTATCCCAATTTTTCCTCAAGTTATTGTGCGAACAAAGAATTTAGGAAACACAAAAAATGTAAAATCGCTTATACGGAGTTGCTTAATTGAAATAAATAGCATAAATAAATATAAGAAACAGTAGTGGTCACACGGGTAGGGTGCGGCGGCGTTCAGCTAAGCTTTGTCTCATTTTCTCCTATTTCTATAAAATGAATTTGAAACAAGTAATTTTTGAGATATTGACCAATATAGTTTTATACAAAAAGTTGAATATCTCAGGAACTACAGGACCAATTGGGCTGAAATTGTGCATCAAACTTGAGTTTCATAGTACCTAGTATGGGTTGAAATTTCACGTCCATATCAATGAATGTTCCTGTATTAATGCTATATTTTCTCAAAAGTGGTAACCCAAAAACCGAACTATCAGACCCGGACATACAGATATTTTCTAAAAACATCATTTCTTAACGTTTCATAGCATTCTACATCATTTCCAGGCAAAATTAGAGAATGTCAAAATCCGACGAATACCTGCTTCCATTCGGAAGCAAAAATAAGGTTTCCGAAAGTTTAAACAATCAAAATTATTTATTAATAAACAATGACGGTTAAAAAAATTCCAATCATGTGCAACATGTAATTTCAATAACACAGAATATTCATGATTTTTTTCAAATTTTTCTCACGCAATTCAATTGACAAATTTGATGGTTGAAAGTGGCTGAATCTATAGAGCAGTCTGTACAAAATTGTAAAATACACTAGGATATCCTTAATATTAGTCAATTGATATGAATCGTTATGAATGCTGGGGTTCAACGATACACTGTATTTAATTTATAACTACTTGAGTGAAAGAGACTGCGAGGCTCAAAGCAATTCAACTGGTGAAAGCTTTCTCGAGCACATTAACTTGAAAAGCTTTGGGACTTCAACAGTTGGAAAGAATGGGGTAGGGATTTCTTCTCTTCTCTCTCCTACTCATTCTTCTCTTTATTTCTGGTTTTACGGGGGTGGGTTCACTCCTGGGGATTGTCACGTACCCCCGTAACCTGGCGATGACCTCGCTGGGCTACCCATGTGTGGGCTCGCTGATTTTTTGACCAGCGCTGGACAGTTTCAAGGAGAACAATGGAGAAACAAAAAAAAAGTGGTGGTTATTCGTGTGACAGAACAAGTTTGAGGGGAGTCATTCCAGTTGCGGGAGACTAACTGTGAAAATCTAGGGTTTTGAGTCATTCAAGGGGAGTCCATTCGACAACTAGTGCGAGGCTTTCCTTATTTCATGCTTCAATCAATTTTTTATTGAACTTTCTTGGGTTTGACATTCAGATCGGGGAGTAATTGGATTTTGAAGGCTTACCTTTCGCTTGACGTCTCCGTTTGCAGTCGAAGTCCAAGCGACGGCCTTGAAGTTTCTTCCGATGATGCTGAAATAATTGTTTTTAGGTTTAGCGGGATTATTTAGTTAAGGGGAGACTACTATGAGTTTTAAAGGTCGCGCGCTATTGGAGTGGGATTAAGGTACGCGGTAGCGTATCGGCCAAGGAAAAGTTTTGACTCTGACTGCACAAAACTGGCCGAACGCTGCCGTGTATCTATACACGAAGGAACTACCCCCTCCACTGTCTCCGAATTATATCCATTGAATAAAGTGCAAACGTAACGACCTACATGAAAAATACTCTTATTACATTACAAAAATCGGCCACAAGCTTCTCTTTGATGCAACTTTTTTTTTGATCGAATTAATATTTAAAAAATTACACGTATAGCAACGAGTTCATATGCACAGTCTCACATTTCATATGATCTGCTATAATTTTTTTGTTACGGAGTTAGTAGCAGTGTAATACAACCACACACATTCAGGAGGGAGCCCGGGAATTTACAAATTGAATTTTGTGCATGAATGCTAAATTCCACAGATATTTTTCAATTGGTCGAGGTACGCGGTAGTGTATCGGCCAAGGAAAAATTTTAACTCTGACTTACAAAACTGACCGAACGCTGCCGTGTATCTATACAAGAAGCAACCACCCCCTTTGCTGCACGAATGATGAATTCTACAGATATGTTTCATTTGGGTTCCGTGCATAAATGAATTCTCGAAAGTTATGGGATTAAAAGTCAGTAGAACTTCCTGTTCCGTGAGTGGAAAAAAATGAAAAATAGTTTTCTTTTTATTTCGGAAAACAATAATGAAAGATCAGGAGAATAACCATGTGGCCGTTTTGAAAAAAAACTTGCAAAATCTCCTTAAGAACCAAAAACAAATGTTTTTGTGAAAAAAATTGCGCGAAGGAAAAGTTTTGTTCGATTCTTACTGAACAGTAGAAATTTTTGAAAAATACAAAGAAGTGAAAAAAAAGTACTCAGAAATGTCAAATGAATGGCCATAGGGCACAGTCAGATGTCTATGAGAAAAATATTTCTAAATCAAATAAAGATTGAAGAAAAATTGTCTATGAAATAAAAAATCAGTAGCAGCAGGATCAACGTCCTTGGCGGGGAGTTTTTCAAATAACTGTCGAGTATCTAACTAATCCTCTATGTTCCGATCCGCGCCCAAAAATAGAAACAGAAATAGACATCTAATTGTGCCCTATGGCCATTCATAGACATCTGATTGTGTCCTATGGCCATTTATTTGACATTTCTGACTTGTTTTTTTTCCTTCCTTTGTATTTTTCAAAAATTTCTACTGTTCATTAAGAATCAAACAAAACTTTTCCTTGGTGCAGTTTTTTTACAAAATTTTTCATACAGTGAAGATCGATTACATATGAAAGCGCACTATCTCGCATGAATAAACCGCCTCTTAAATCAAATATTTCCTACCGTAAAAAGGAGAACGAAAATCGATCTCGATATATCTTGAAAATCTCGAATAAGCGTAAGCGTAAGATAGTCCATACGCCAGGGGCATTCCTGTGTCCATTGAAAGGTCCATTAGGTTGTATTGCTGGAATCTATGTTTTCGAGGGTGCTAATTACGAATCTGATAACCATTTTTGCGAAAACAGGTGCCGTCTATTTAATTGTTTAAAACGTGTTTTCGCAAAAACGGTCAGAGATATGAAAAAATGTTTCCAATGAAAAAAGTTCCTTATGCCGCAATAAACATTTTATGTCATATGACTTTCTCTCCTAATTATTGTAGTTAAGGAGTTACCGCAGTTAGAAGAAATACGGGCGACGCGTTAGCAGAAAATTAGTTGAAGATAGAGAAAAATGTTTCAGATAAAAAATATCCATCATGACAAAATACATCAATTCAGTTATGTAACTCTTCTCTCTATTAAACATTTTAATTTTCAATTTCAAATTGACTTTACTTCCCAGGCGAGAGAGATAGAGAGAAAAGCTTCAGATAAAAAATGTTCGTTATCTCAAGATGCATCTATTGAGTTTTTTAACATTTTTCTCTATTGGTAATAGTTAACGAGATAATCAAGGTTGATTGTCCAACGGGAGACTAAGTTGCCCCATCGTCGTATGGAAAAATGTCAATATCTCATAAACTACTGGAGATAAAGAAAAGAGTTACATAACTGAATCGATGTATTTTGTCATGATGGATATTTTTTATCTGAAACATTTTTCTCTATCTTCAACAATTCTCTCGCAGGCGCGCCCCACCGTACGTGACTGCTAACGCGCCGTCCGTATCTCTTCTAACCGCGATAACTCCTTAACTACAATAGTTAGGAGAGAAAGTCATATAACATAAAATGTTCATCTTGGTATAAGGAACATTTTTCATTGGGAACATTTCTTCATATCTCTGACCGTTTTTGCGAAAACACGTTTTAAACAATTAAATAGACGGCACCTGTTTTCGCAAAAATGGTTATCAGATTCGTAATCAGCAACCTCGAAAACATAGATTCCAGCAATAAAACCTAATGGACCTTTCAATGGACACAGGAATGCCCCTGGCGTATGGACTAAGACTGAAACCGAAGCGCTAGTACATGAGAAGATAAGAAGGCGCGTGCGTAGCACGCGCGGCTGATCTCGCGTATTCAAATGAAGCAACTTCTATCTTGGCAATTATAAATTTGCGATTTTTCTGGTTAAAAAACGACTTGTGTGAGAACTTGTTTTCTTTCTCTGACAATTAGTCAAAATTGTTTAGTTTCCATAAGGTAAAGCAAGGAGATAAACCTTCAAATTGACTTTTCACATCATTCAAAAGGCATTAGCACTGAGTGTCATGTCAAATCATGAGAAACATCTATTATTATTGAAATTCCCCTGGAAAAACTAGTATAAGAATGGAAGTGAATCGCTGAATCAATTCTCGTTACCAAACGTGTTATGCAATGAGAAAGGATTGTATGAACTTTTCCAAGTGATTTCAATGCATTCACTGCGGTCAGAGGTTTGCACATTATCCAAAACTTTTTTAATAAATTCTCAGTCTTGTTACCATCACTTCTTTGAGATCCTTGGTCTGCAGATGGTGCAGCGGTTCCAAAAAGTTTTGCTTTATGTTGTCGTCAAGGGAATACTTCACGTCGGCCATCTGCTTCATCGCTTCGCCCATTTCTATCAAAGCTTGGGCTGTAAAAAGAAAATCCTAATTATTGTCACGAAGAAAGGCGCTAAAGTCCTCTCACCAAAAGGTATTTCCGTTTTTTAATACTTCAACTAAGGGAGGGTGGGGAAAAATGGACCGGGATAGCAAAACGGACCACTGACAGAAAATTGGTCATTTTTATTTATTTTTCTTCCCTTCAAATCAGGAACACTGAATGTGTTGAATTAAAATTGAGTTTCAGGATCATAACTGTCACAGGCGTTTTGTAGACAAGAAGTGTCATTGAACCGCAATTTGATCAGATTTGCTAATCACCTCAAACCACAAATGATTTTGAATTGTTTTTTAGATATTTACCGAATATACTGTCCTCTCCCATCTTCTTTCCATATAGAAGCATACAGTCACCGAGAACTCCCTCGGGCTGTGGATAAGTAGAGGCCTTTGCCTGACCGCTTAGCTTGCTAATTCCCTTGACCGCAGCCATTTTGGCTCTTGCCGTTGGATTTGGCTGGAGAAATTCCTTGGTCTTCATCTGCAGCTCTTCGACGAGTTCAACTGTTACGTCAGTTTTCTGCTCAAACAAAGGGGAGTTACGAGTGGGTCAATTGAACTTTGAACTAATTCACATTTTTTTAACGGTTAGGGTAAATCGTCCAGTGGACCACCAAATTAACGTATCAAATTCTTCACTCAAATACAACGTAATTTGTATCAATTCAATTCAAGAAAATTTATAATTTATCGGTTCGTCTATCACTGATATGTCACGAATGTCATTCAATCAAATGCTGAACGATTCATCTTACACTGAGAAAAAAGAATAATTTTATGTGAGAAATTTTATATGAAATAACTACTAATTACAGTTGACAGTTTTAAACTCAATACGATTTTGCAGTGAATTCCGGTTGGGTCTTTTTGAGATTCATTTACTTGGGAAAAATAGAAGTTCTTTAGAATTTAGGTCCAATTCAATTTGTCCCACTAACAACAATATTTGTTTTTTTTCAGTGTGAAATTATGCTGTTTCAAGAAATCCTTGAACTTGTCCAGAAACGAGAATTATTTTTCAATGAATACGTTAATAAAATTAACATTTTCTATCAGTGTTTTCGACGACTTCAATTGTTACATTAATTTTCTGTCCAAATAAAAACAGTTACAATTGGTTCAATTAAATTTTTAACTAATTCACATTTTTAGAAAACCTCTTGCTTTTTAAATTTGTGTATGATTTTCCACATGGGAAAATTGAATTTTATTCGTCATCGAAAAATTTTATTAATTCGCTAATTGAGTTATCTCAAATTAATAAATAAATTTGAATTAACAAATTTATTTATCGAATAAAAGAAAATGAATAAACTCACTCTCTCCATGTCCACGAAGTCCACATCGAGCTTTGTGCCTTCTGCGCCGCCCATCTTCTCTGTCATGTACTGAAAAAGAAGAAAATTAAAAATTGTACGGTTGTGAATTCATTTAGAACACTTGGAGATGGTAAAAGATATCGCGAATGAATCCGTTCCACACTTCCATTTCAAATCATTTCAAGTTCAATTTCAGTTCTTTTTCGTGCTCGGGAAATTCTGAGATTATTTTCATGTCCACGGGTCTCTATAGAGACGAACATTATTTATCGGAAAATTAGAGAGACAAAGGGGGAGCCATTAGGCAGTGAATCAAATTTCAATCATTATTTTCTCTTCTTCAGTCGCAATTTGCCATTTGAAAAGATAAATGCGATTTTTCTCCTAATTATTTTGTACATAAATCTCTTCGGAATCGTTGGGCTTTTAGAAAAGTGCCGAGAGACCTCTTTTGTACACTAAGAGAACAAAAAATCCTCTTTGAGATTAAAAAAAAAACAAATTGATAATTGTCAAGATAGAAATTGTTTCATTTACAAAAGTTTTAAACATGAATAATTGTTTTGCCGACTCAAGAGACGGATCACTCATGAGAGACTGTGCCTTTTCAGGATGAAAATATCTCATGAAGTGAAAATAATCAAAACATATTTCGTCCCTTTGCAGTTACGGGACTGCTATCATATCATCATTATTATTATTCCATCTAAGAATTGATTTCTTATGTTTCAGTGTTGAATAACTGAAACGAAAAACTACTCGCCCCTAATTTACATAAAACGAATATTTTTCGAGAGCAAAATACGTATGGTAATATAGACTAACGAATAAATATACATATAAATCTCTTTCTGCGGCAAAATTTTGTTATCTCAAGACACTTTTCAAATGTTTACACGGAAAAAATATTATATTTATTTTTCCAATTTTTTTTAAATTAATTTTTGGTATGGAACATGGCAGTGCAGGACTATACTCGTCATTTGCCAATTTTTGCCATGTAACATACCAAATTCGAGAAAATAGCAAAATATAATAGGTTCATAACCAAAAAATAGTAGTTCAACATACCAAAATTTATTTAAAAAATCAGCTACAATTTCACTTCGTAATTTGATTTTATAGTACGCGAGTCAATAAAGATCAACACGTCGGTTATGAATTAATCAATATAGAATACTGAATAATAGTAAATATTAAGTAAAAAATAGTTGTTGAACATAGCAAAATTTGAGAAAAAGAACCCCAAATTTCACTTCAAAATTAGTATTTTTTATTACATGACTTAATAAAAATTAATATTTTGGTATTAATTTTTCAAAATAAAATTCTGTTTTTTCATAAAATACAGAATTATATATAGAATTATATTATAATAAAATTCGGCTGAATTTACGAAAAAAATTTCTCCCCTCCCCTCTTCCTGGTATGATGAGGGGAGGGTAAAAGAAGGGGCTGAGGAGGGAGGGGGAGTGTGGAGGGGGGGGGGGCTGTAAAAATAGTAAAAGAAAGTTGTTGATAGTTTTAATTCCATTTTTATTATTTACATTCAGATTGTTTCCCTACATAAATGTTTTTGGAATATAATTGAAACCATTATCCGAACGTAACTGATGAGTAACATCGGCAATACCGGAGGCAATTTGTGTTAATTCTAATTTCACCAAGTTGTAGGAATTCTCATCAAATATTTTAAGGGCATCGTACTTATCATCAAAATAAACATCAGACAGTTGCTTCTCAATTTATAGTACTCACCTCGTAATAATTATATCCTTTGGTCGAAAACACGGCAATAATCCAATGGTTATACACACTAATCTTGAACCACGCTCGATGCGTCTTGACGCGACGAGAACACGATTTGAACTGTGATTGTTTTCGGCAAAAAGTACGGGGGTACTATCGTAAATTCGGGGAATCATCATTCCCAAATGGTTAAAAATAGAACCCTTTTTTTCTCATTTTTTCGTTCTGAACATACCAAAATTTACCACAGGGGAACTAAAATTCAACGCACTCTAAATAAATGACTATTGTAGCGACCTAGCATTTTTGAAATTATTTTCAATTGAATTTTTACTTTTCTTAAACTTCAATATTTGATTTGTCAACAGAACATTTTTTGCTATGCATTTTTGAAATTTTTGGGCTTTCAATATTTTTTTTTCATTTATTTTTATAAAATAAGAAAAATAGCATAGCTCTTATTAATTTGATGACATTGCATTTAAAAAAATCGCATGGAACATACTAAAAATTAGTGTGAAAGGTTATATTTTTTTGATCAAATGTGCAGCAAAATTTAGAGGATTTGCTTCATATTTTGTATTAAGCTTTATCAAGAAATCGTCTGTCATTTTATACTTTTTTTTTGTAAAAATTGGTATGTTGATGACGAACAAAAAAAAGAAAAATGATAATTGTAAGGAAAGAAGTTAGCATATAATGTCATATTTCCAGTATGGTCCTCTACTAATATATCAACATATCAATTTTTCCAAAGATATGTTTTCCGTGTAGAACGAGATTTTTCATTCTTGGTAATTTTCAACTTGCGATCCTCTTGGTTCGAAAAACACTTCTTTGAGAACATGTTCTCCTTTTCGCTCTTAGTGTACCAATTAACTTTTATTCATACAATTCCTCTCTAGCATCTGTAGTTGAACTTTGGCTTTCATGTGAGCTTTTGTAATTGTTATACGATCAAAATTATCCCAAGACTTCCTGAATACGATGTCTTTTCATCCCTGAACAATACTTATTTGGATGAAAACAAGTTGAAAACAAAGTTGAGCTCAATCATAGCAACAATGAGCCAAAATTTCTGATTTTTATCTACAAATTTCACCGTATTTATGTTAAATTGTCAAACATTTTTCACAACATCATGTCTTCGCGTTTCATAATATTTTAAACAATTTGCATTCGCAAGCAAAGATCCCAAGTTGATAATTACCAAGTTCGAAATCATTTCATTTAAACATGCGAGAGTTTCAAACTTGAATAATAGTTCTGTTTTCAATGATGAAATATTTGACTCGAGAATTGAATCGCTCACGAAAAATTGTGTCTTTTCAGAATGAAAATGTTCCTCATAAAGTGAAGTTAATCAAGACATCATTTGTTCCTGAGTTGCAGGTTTGCTATCATATCATTATTATCATATTGAAGAATTCATTTCTTTCTTGCACTGAAAATAATAATTTTTAGGAATAACTAAATTTATTTTTTGTGATAGCTATCTGAAACGTGCACTTTTCAAAACGGTTTAGTGTGCGTGAAGCGCTTGTTTCCGCACGGGGTGCGTAACGTTCACGAGTCTGCGTAAAGTGAATTCTCGTGCGTAAAGTTTCGCTTTGCGCCCTCGAAATTTACTTCACGCACGCTCTTGAATTTTACGTACTCGTGCACAAAAACAACCATTTTACCCCCGCTAACCTTCCGAACAGTGAACTCAATAAGTATCACAAAATAGGGTGTGTTACACGTGCGTGCGAGAAAGCGGAACTTTACGTACTAGTAACACAATATACTATTTCATCACTTGTGGGTAAAGTGAAATTTTACAGCCGCCTCGCATGCGCAAATCCCACTTTCCGCACATTGGGATGAAAAATAGGGTTCGATACTTATGAGAAAAATATATATTTTTTTTAATGAAGTATTTCTGAAAAATTACAGTTCAATTTGCACACACATTTTCTCGTTATAAAAATGAGACCATGTGAACTATTTACAGATGTTGTGGTCACTTTAAACTATTAACAATACACTTCAGATTTTTATGGAACATTTGATAAAAAACTCGTTAATTATAACAAGAGAGTTTTTATCCAGGCTAATTAGGAATTTTCGTGCATGATATGGTGGAAAAAATGAGAACAATGTTCTCTGGCCGTTAGGGGGGTAGGACAAAATGTACCGAACGGCAAAATAAATCCCTACACGGATGAAAAAATTTAGTAGAAAAACCTATCGAATTAGTTAGAAAATTCTATTGAATTTCTATTGAACTATTCTATTAGTTTTTGGCTGATTCTATTGAAATGTTCAATAGAAAATATTAAGTAGAAAAAGTCAATAGAATTCAATTTTTCTATATAACTTATTCTAGTGAGATATTTTCTACAGAATTTCCTCAGCTCAAATTTTCTAAGTTTTTTCGTTTGATTTTCTTGATGAGAAGAAAAGAAAAATAGAATGAAAAAAAATTTGAGTCAAGCAAATTCTATAGAAAATATATGAAAAGAATAAGTTATATAGAAAAATCGAATTCTGTTGAATTTTTCTATCGAACGTTTTCCATTGAATATGTCAATAGAATCAGCAAAAACAAATAGAAAATTTAATAGAAATTCAATAGAATTTTCTAACGAATTCGATAGGTTTTTGTATTGAATTTTTTCTTTTATGAAATTCTACGAAATTTTACTGAACCTCTCTTCGTGATAGTACCGAAGAGTGGATTCTGTGTCCGATGTGCCTAAGATGGACTCATTATGTGCGCGAATAAATCCAGATGATTTTAAATTCGACTGTGATGATTGCGCGTAATGTTTAACATAAAAGAATTATTATTGAAAATATTTGAAAATACGTCCAATTATTGATTCATTAATTTGATTATTCTGTCATTTTTACGTACTTTTTAGATGAAAAAAATCTTGCTGTGAATTTGGAAGTTTGAAAATATTCTTTCCCCAATTTCTGTAATTTCCATTTATCGAAATTACTACGGAAATTACGGTTGTTCCTAATCATATTTCTGTTGAATCTCATTGTTTCCCACAGTATTTATCATGTTTATTTCCACAATAAATGACAAATAGTTAATAAACTTATTATGAAAAAAAGCACTTAATTTTTTTCAAAGGGGTCCATTTCGCCCTACCCTCCCCTACACTTTTATGCACTCGTATCGAAATATATTGCTTCGATTAGTTTTCCCAAACGTATTTGTTGAAAAACAAAAGGACTGAATCCCATTAAAAAAAATTCTCAATGAAATAACTATAGGAAATACAATAAAGAAGCCACTGTGAAGTAGAATAAATTGTCAATTGCCT